ATGACCTCCCTGTGTCTCACCCACTCACTCCCTCCGCTATCCTCTTCTCTTTTCTGTTCCTTTAGTAGATTTTATTATTCGAAGTATTTTTTCGATAAACGCACGGTATACAATGCATTGCCAGTTACAAGACATTTGGGCACTTTTGAGCTGGTACGTTTAACGGAGTTCGCTACCGAACACGGTTTATCGAATATCGTGGCATTCCGTTCAAGAAACTAGTTACCCCTTCCTACCCAACCTCCACCAATTTCGGCTGCACGAATCAGATCGCAAAAAAAAAAAAAGTTTTGCGTGTCGAGAGTTAACTATGATAGGCCATAGCATCGGAAAGAAATCCAGAAAATAAGTTGAACCCTGCCGCAACAGTACCCGAACACCACGAAGTCTATAAAGATATACACAAAACTTTTGGTTGGAGTCTAAATCATCTCCCAATCATCTCCCAAAGCGAATGTTTTGTCGTCTTTAATGACGCAGCTGTGTATGCAAACGCACAACCGTTTTCGCACAGAATGCCCGGAGGAGTTTCGGTGAACAGAAATGCGCGGCTCGGGCGTTTGCGCTCGACAAGTCAACCATCACTCGCACAAGGCTGCAATGGAGGCGTAACTATACGGCCCCTCCTCGTAAGACGGTGAAGCCAACAACAACAAACTATAGGGTCCTTTATTCCGGAGGGCACACAAGAGCGCTTTCACGGGAGCAACCCCGTGTCAACTTCAGAACACGCAAGGCACGACACCACGGTACGCGACTCCACAGAGCCACTCCACCACCGCACGACAGCTACGCGACTCCGAACAAATCCGTGCATTAAAGCGAAATCGTCACTAGCCACCGTAGGTGATACGCATCGCATCAGTCAACTGGAAGGGGGAACCAAAAGAGGGTGTACCTCACGGTCGCCCTTACGAGAGACGCCGGCTGAATGGTACCGTCACGGGAGCATACTCGGCGCACAACGGGCGATATACATACTGCCTTATCTGGAACACGCAGCCGGTTACCGTTACTGATTGGCTGACACGAACCCGTTACTGATTGGCTGACACGAACCTCGCAACCTTCACCGCACTGCACGGAATTGATGGCACTGTGCAAGCAGGACTACGGCGTGAACGCGCAACTCACGACGAAGCCGGCTCCGTTTATTCCGCGCATCTCTCACTTTCTCCCCACTCGCATAAACCGTGACGACAAGGACAACAACGCCGGTCCTTTCAACGTGCAAGCAATGCAGCGGGGCTGTGCAAGCGTCGACGGCTTCGCACAACTAGCATTCACATAGTCCATGGTTCGAGCGTCGATGGGGAAAAACAAAGTGGGTGCAGAAAACAGACGCACCACTTCGAAGAGAAAGGGATCCGTTGTCTATGCCGTTTCTCTACGCGTCACCAGGCATGGCGTGCGCGCCGTGAAACAACCGATGAGTTATGTCACAGTAGGCTTTTTTTTTTTTTTTTGCCGCTATTCCCAAGAAAGACCGCCCGTAAAGCTTTTAAGTATTCCAGCTTCACCGGACTGTCGTGTCTTATTGCGCGCGCGCTGCAAAGGAAGTGTCGACTCGGTCGCAAGCAACGAGAGCATGCGAAGCACGCGCGATGTGAAGTACGCGCTGATAACGAGCAAATGAGTCAGGCGCGCGATAAGAAAGCTTTGCGCGACGCGTTTTATACATGCATGCGCGGTGACTGCACCGTCTATGCGCGGTGAATCATTATTCCGCCTAATTCTTAAGCTCGTACACGTACCGACTCAGGTATGCGCGAAGAACATACATGTATAGCGAGTTGCGGGTTAGTATATATGCGGTCACGACGAATTGCCACTAACATCACGAGTGAGATAGTTTGAAATACGGCGGAAATTAGTGTCGTGTTATTTCATTTTTTTTTCGCTCCCCTTCTCCACTCGACGACTCACGCCGTCGCATCAAACGCACACACCCATAAAGGCACTGCTTATTTGCGTATCCTATTTTTAAATATGCCACATTGAGAATTCAATGTTTTGACGAGGAACGTATGAACGCCGTCAGCGAGTTTGACACGATTAGTTCGCACCAGTGAGTTACTGTAAATCGTCGTATTGTTCCGCAGAAAGTGTCAATGTGAACAACTTTGCGTACAGTGCTACATGTGCAGAAGCTCCACCTCCGTAGCTTTCTCGACAGTGCCAAGAAATATTGTCGCCGATTATATTTATTCGGGCCACAATAAACAAACATACGCTCGAAAAATCTATTAAATATCATCGCACCTAAGTCAATGATCGTGTCACAAGAAGACAGAGGGTAGAACACGCAGAAAACAGCTATCTGCACAATGACGAATTTTAACGCGTGTTGAGGAAATTCGCCGAATAATAACAATTGGCTGGCGTGTATACGGTATTATCAACCCATGAGCAGTAACCTAGTCACTAAAGCGGAAAGTATACAACCGTTGCATGCTGCCAGTGCTAACATACAGCATCGGAACCTGGAGAATAACACTATAGAAGAAGCTAAGGACCACACAGCGTACAATGGAACGAATAATGATAGGAGAAACACAGTGCGTCGGCAGATAGCAGGGCAGATCAGATAACATAGGCGGCCGATATTATCGTAGATATATCACCAGACAAAAAGTTTACCAAGGCAGCCATGTTATGAGAAGCACAGACAACAGAGGGTCAGTTATCGGAAGGGATACCACGACATGAGACGCAAGGACGCCCACGTCTAAAGGTTAGGTGGAGAATGTGGAGGCCAGAAACGAAATAAGCTCGCAAAAGACAGCGTGGATTGAAGGTCAACAACGATCAGGCAAGCATGAAAAATCGTAGTAGATTCAGGGTTCCTGCTGTAGTATACTTCAATTATAGGTAAGTTCAACTTCGTTATTTTGTGTGTTCCCACTTCCCCTTCTTCCAGTGTAGGGTAGAAAACCGCGGAATTTATCCTGCCTTGCCTAGGCTGCATAATGTCACTGGTAAGAGACTCCAGCCCAGAACCGAAGATGATCAAATCTAACGTGCTTGAAGCACTGCAAAGCGCGATCTATTTATTTACTTTTGATGTGATCTTGCGCCGAAAAAAAAAAAAAAACTTCCCTTTTTCTTTTTCGTCCACGTGTTTTTGAAGGTTGGGTTCATCTATTTATTAAACTAACTATGTAGCACTGTATTTATAGCATGACATAAAATGTGGTACATACATTTACCGCTGTGCTTAGGCGAAAAAAAAAATTGTTCCGGCACATTCTTTATAAATGTAATGAGGCTGTTTGGTTTGCGAAATGATTTAAGCATTTAATGGACAGCGGAACTTGATACTCGCTGCACAGATTACTTCAGTGCATTTATGCCGAGCACACGTGAAGGGGACCTCCTACAGGTACACATCAGCAAACTCGATTTTCGCGAGAATACAGTAATTAGTTGAATATGAAGCAGGCTGCTATTGACGGCGCTTGTTCAAATAAATGTTCCGCGACAAAAGAAATGGAAAATGTTGCCTATTTACGACGGTACCGGTGTGATAGCGGCCCAATAATGGTTCGTAGAAGTAAAGTAAATAATAATGGCAGCAGCAACAACAACAACAACAACAAAAAAAAAACTGCCTAGCAAGCGAATTGCAAAATTTTGTTTAGTAAACGGGTAAAGTCGGACACTTCAAAGACATGTTGAAGCGACGTTTTCAAGCTGCCCACAGCAGCTTATAGAGAGTAGTATTCCATGCTCACTCAAAATCAAATTTTCCGTTCGCCACAACGACGGAACACATTGCTTCCCCCAACATTAAATATCGTTGCTGACACGAACGATAGAACATTCATTGAGGCGCCACTATCAATACTTTAACTTTTTTAGCGCACACAGAGTACAAGCACGATAAACACAGACCCACACGGGTGCAAGTGTGTATCTTTCTTATCCTTGTTTTCCGTGCGCGCTCAAGAAGAATAAAAGTATGGATACATGGCAACTCGCCCAGCTACTATCTTTTTCACTGCGCCATGGTCAGCATACAGTTAACTTACAAACAATCAGCATTCAAGAGTTTACCTAAATCCATTTAAACTCCGAAAGTCAACGCGCACTTCCAGCACCGCAAATCTGAATACTCGCGAAAAATATGTAGCCATCTTCGGAGCGCTAAATTCTGCATTCGATTGTTATCGCACAAATGGCCACGTCGCGCGATTGATGCCCTAGAAAGCCGCCGGATTTACAAGTTTTATAAAGCTAAATATTCCCGAGCGAAGGGAAGCATTATACCGAAAACCGAGCAGCTTTCAAAGGCTACCGGCAGCGTTAGCGTAACGCAGTAGCGCGAACGTAACGGTACTTAGAGATCGTTCACTTGCGCAGTGCGAACGAAGCGCAAGCCTGAAAAAAAAAAAAAAAGTAACAAGCCTATGTAAGCTGCCAAATAGAAAGCACTAGTGATGTAATACACTGCCCAACACAGTGGAGTGCAAACGGAATAAGTTTAGACCCCACATCTCATGCGCAGTGCAGCAAGAGCAAGTGGATCAATGAGACCGCCAGGCAAGAGTGGCATGACAGGCAAGGGAAAAGGGGGAGGTGAATATGTTCGAGTGCGTTTACCTAAGAGTTTTTTGGTTATCACAATGTAGCCGGAGAGGGCTCCAACGGAAGCTCTTGCATTCGCGGTTGGCGAAACACACGGAAGACAACTTCACCACATGATACACCACTACTCCCAAAGTAACGACCCACCGACTGCAGCGGCTGGCAACTGAACGCAAAAGCAGACGAATAATAAAAAAAGTGCGACTGTGGCACCCCTGTTAATGGCGCACGTAACTACGTGGAACGCGAAACTTTTCACGTTTTTATTGTAAGTAAAAATAAAATAAACGTTCATTCTTGTTTCATAAGTTTGTATTTTTTGATACTTTTTGTAAAATTTATGTAGAAAATAACGTGATTTTAGTTATTTTTTATGGCATTTTGTGTGTCAGGCTTTAGGAGGCGCTCTCCGCGTTACACAATGCATGTGATCCGTCCGATCTTTTACGCGGTTTTTGAGCTAACCCTAAAAATGCGGTGGAAGTACGACATGAAAATGTGAGTTCGCAGTCACGTCTCGCGTTAATGCAAGCTCGCGAAGGAAAACGGGAGTAGTGGGGCGGCGGCTGGACATGGCGCAAAGTGACTCGTTCGTGCTGTGGAGCAACGTCGCCACGCCGGTGACCGAGCTGCGGTCCCGAAGCCGCTTCAGCAACCGGAGTGCGTCCTTTTCGCGGCAGCAACAGGATTTCGGCACCCCAGCAGCTTCGTACACCAGCACCATCGATCACGCAAGCAGAAGTGCGAACGCCTTCGCGGGAGGATCCATCGCAGACTTCGCGACGCCCGGTGGCAGCAGGGCTTCTCGTGGCGGCGGCAATGTAAGCGCGAATTTCGAAGCCGCCGACATGACCGCCTTCAGCGCGTCGGCGCTGGCGACTGAGCATCCGGCGGTCGTCGCTACTGCCGGCATATACTCGGATTTCATGGAAGCCTTCCAGGCACATCGCAGTAGCCAAGACGTCCTCACGCTTATCGAAAAATACGCTACCCTGTGCGATAGTTACTTAGGCAAAGTGCGTAAAGTGACGGAACGCATGGTATCTCGCAAGGGCGAGCAGGTGTGGATGGAAGCGATGGCGTGCCAAACATTGCTCACCGAAGAGCGAAACACTTGGAAGCTCACGGGCGCCCTCCTGCGCGACCGTCTCAAGGCAGACGAGATCATGGAAGAAGGCGGCGGCGACACCATGTTCGTCGACGGAACTCGCGAAGCTAGCGACAGAGAAGTCGTGGACGCACTCATGGCGAGGGACTCGTTCGCACGCCAGGCACAACTAGTGGTCGACTGGCTGGAAAGCTGCGCGGCCCATCAACGCGGTATGGGGAACGACGACGACAGGCTCGAGTACTTTGCTGACGGAGGCTGCGCATGGGAAAACACGCTTCACCATGTGCAGTCCCGCGCCTCCGTCGGTAATGCGCCGTCGTCATACGTGACTGAACTAGACCCGGACGCACCTTCGAGGCAGCGGTTGCCGATACACGACCTCGACCGTGATGACGAATACCGCCTCTTCCGCAGCGTCTTCTTCCACCTGCGGGCGGGCCAACTGCAGCGGGCTCAGGAGCTGGCTGCCGACAACGGTCATCATTGGCTAGCCGCTGCCCTTGAAGGCTGGCGGCCCCACCACGACCCGAACAATGGCAGCATGATCGGCGCCGACTCCGTGCAACCCGCAGAAGGCAACCTCTACCGGGACCTGTGGAAGCGCACCTGCTGGGAAGCTGCGTCGAATCCCACGTGTTCGCTGTACGAGCGCGCCGTGTACGGTGCTCTGAGTGGAAACGTGCAAGCAATGCTGCCTGCTTGTACAACGTGGGAGGATCAGCTGTGGGCTCGCATGCGCGCTCTGGTCGACGTGTGCGTGGAGCAGGAGCTCCGCACTGCCACGCAGCAAGCCAGAAGCCTCGAACCTCTGCCGCCGGGCTACCCCAGTGACCGTGGAACCTTTGAAGCCGTTTTCCGTGACCTGCAGGCAGCTGTGGGTGCGAGCGACACGCGAGACCAGGAGATCATGCACATCTTGCAGCGATGTGTGGTGCTGGACGATGCCGTTTCCATGGTTGAAGAGATGCACGACTGGGCAACTGCTCAGGCGATGGAACCGCCGCTTCAAACCATGCGGTTTCTGGCTCACATGGTACTTCTGCTGCGACAAGTCGGCTGCGAGACCGGCACTGGGGCGTGCAGCGCACTTCTCCGCACCTACGTAGACCTGCTCATCGACGAGGGCCACGTCCCCTTGGTTGCAACGTATGCAGCCACTCTTCCTGCAACCGACCAAGTTGCCAAGTACACGCAGCTGTTGCGCAGCCTCAAAACGAGAGACCCCGAAGAACAAGAGCTCTGCCTTCAGCTTGCGCGGTCGGCTGGGCTAAACGTTCCTGCGATTACCCGAACACTGGTCGAGCAAATTCGAATTTCCGGCGAGGAACCAGTAGAACTTCGTGCAACCTCCACTGTGCCTTCCATGGAGACCACCGCCGATGATGAAGAGAAGGTGGCATCACTGGAGTGGCTCCTCATTGACAGTTCTACCAGGGGTGAGGCGATTAAGCAAGCCAATGCACTCATGCGTGGCTTTGTGTGCCTTGGGAAGATTGGTGCCGCACGCAAGACATTCCATAAACTGCCAGCGGACTCCGTAAGGGTGGCCATGGAGCAGTGGAGCCGCTCGTCAATACACAACAGGCAGCTGCCGGCAGAAGACGAGAATGCCGTGCGGGAGTTCATGTGCTTTGAGGCACTGTTGAGGGTTCACGTCAGTTTTCAAGAGTGGTTTAATCAGTTTCACCGTAGGAAGCCGACGCCCCCTGAAGAGCTTGCTCCAGGAGCCCGGTTTGCCGAAAAACTGGCCCATGAGCACAAGATTCGGAGCTACACTGTGGAGCTAGAGCACTGGAAGGGCTTGGTGACTACTCTTGCTAAAGACGTCAAGAGGGACGTCTTTGATGTGCTCCTGTTCGTGGACGGAGGCTGGATGGTGGACCAGAAGGAAACGCCAGGCAGCGTCGACAATGCGCGAAGCCGGCAGATGGCAGCACTGCGCAGGCTGTGCATTCCGCAGCTGACATTTCTTCTCATGGAGGCCTTGGAAGAGTCCGGGCTGGCTGCAGAGTACACAGAGGTTGTGGACGTCATTGCATCCGAGAAGCAGGCATTGTACGAAGAGTTTGGTGATGAGGAGCTAGGAACACTCTTGCAGAAAAGCAGGGCGGCATCCCTTTTGCTGCTGGACCAAGGACTCGACGCATTAGGGTTTCCATTGCAGTGATAATGTGACTTCTTGTGCTAAGAGTTTTGGAAGGAGTGAATATAAGGTGCGAGCAATGTTAAAGGGAGCGTGAGCGAATGCACGAGATCTTCTACACTTGTTTTTCTGTGTTATCATGTTTGACACTGCCACTGACATAGACCTTGTAAATGACATCTAGCCTCTTTTCTATGCATGTGACTTACAGCATAACAATTCGTTTATATCGCAGCAGAAGCTGCCGAAAGCTCGTTGAAAAAGTGATTGCCTTTGTTGTTCAATTACTTGGGAAAAGCTGTCAGCGGCTGCAATACCATCCTTGTTCAATTTTTTTTTATGTTGTCTGTTTCTAGTAACATTAACATTTTTTTACTTAAGCTCTAGGGCCTCATTAATGCATTGCAAAGACAACCCATCACAGCTTGTACAGGATGTGTTAGAAGGCAATTTGTTTATAGGGTATAAGAAATTCGAAGCTCTCTCTTCGCGCACAGATGAAATAAAAAGTGAACCAGCCTTTTGCAAAAGTGTAGCTTGTTTTCTTACATGCAGACTACACTGTCACTTTTTACGTGTGAAGCATGTTCTTGTGCAGTGGAAGAACAAGGTCTAAAGTTGGTTCTAGCAGTTTCTTTTATGGCTTCTGATTAAGCACTACCATTTATAGTGTTTTGAGCAAAAAAAGTGAATTTAACTGAAGTCAACGGATGTCGTACAAAAAACACACCCTGCAATAGCTAGATTCGGCTAACTAGTTTTCCACATTGTTAGGCTAAAAACTGCATTGTTGGCTTAACAATAAATTAAAGCTTAGTAAGTGAAACAGGCTGACCTTCCCTATGTGATGGTCATAAATGAGGAGCGTGTTGTAAGCAGTGCATTGCATTTTAAGTATAGTACATGTGAACTTAAAACACCATTACTGCTACGTAAAGAGTTGGACTGTGATACTTGCAAGGTGCTAAAGCACTTGCACATTACAATGCATGTTTAAGCCTTACTGCAAGAAATGCAGCCACCTCAATGCAAATCTAAATCGTTTCTTGCCTACACGGTTTTTTGATGGTGGATATAACACTTAGTATAATGAAGTCGGACGGTGACAAATTCTGACCAATTTTTTCTTGTAAAGAGTAAAGGACCCTTTTTAGGCATATTACATTGCTTCATTGCATATTGGTAGGAAAAAGGAGCAGACTTTGTGTGATTTAAACTCTAGTGTTGCACAACATTTTTCTGATTCATTAGTCTATTGTATTTGCCTCGATTCTGTAGGTTCTCGCAATTCTGGCATTTTAGAGCCTTTTCTAAACACTCTTTAGGAAACTGCTACAGGCACACTTGCTGGGTACCCACTGCGCCATAAATAATCATTATTTCTGTGTAGTAGGTCGGCATTCACTTTGATATCTTTCATCATTCTTCTGAGAAGGATGTTGTCCGCTACACATTTGCAAGGAATTTTGCGCGAATTTTTTATGCAGTAGCTGATGACAAAGAATTAGACCTGAAGTGGGTATGCACCACAGTTCATAGAGATCAAGGACAAGCTTTCGCAATGTGTTGGAGCATTGGTTGACCCACTCGTTATGTAATTTGTATTTTGTGACGCCTGGTTGTTCTTTTGCTGTTCTAAAGCACTTTATTACTCATAATAATGCAATTCTTTTCCCGACATCAAGCCTGCCTAAGGCAAATTTGCAAACGAGTTTCAAGCACCGGCGTGGCTCAGTGGTAGAATATTGGGCTGGCGCGCAGGGGAGCCGCGTTGGAGCTCCGCTGTGTCCTTGGTGTTTTTTATTTACTTAGTGTTTTTTTTCTCATTTCGTGTGATAGTGTTCACAGACACCAGCAACGACCCGTGTTGAGATCTCATAAAAGCTTTCGCTGTAAAACAATATAGGTGTGCAAAGGGACGCATAATTTGGCTGAATAGAAAATTTTTCATGAAAATTGCTCGACTGAAGTTTCATGTAGCCCCAGCAAATTGATTTATTTAGTTGTTTGGATTTCGACTCAATCAGTATTCATATGCCATTCTGATCACCGGGGTCGTGTGCAATTACTGTGGCAATTCTTGTATTGTAAGGCATGTAACAACCAATGAGTTCAGGGCAGTTAAGCATTCTAGCTAAGCACTTTATTCATTTGGTGGTGAAGTGAGTTATTTTAGTCCGTTGCAACCCGAATAGAAATTTGGCTCCTGCGACAAAACCACAGTGTATTTCATCTCTGTAAGAGCTGTGCCAACTGTTACTTCTAAGCTAAGTGCATTTTGTCGGATAAAATTTTCTTATTTCCGCTTAAAATATTATCTTTGGCAGAAGTGGCAGAGAAGGTGGCTCTAGCCTGCACAAAAGCCAAAGTCATAGTCAGGGACTATAAAACCGCTATTAAAAATTACAGTATGGGCAGAATCTCGTTAGAAGTGCTCAGAATTCTGGCTAATTTTTGCGACGAGCCGGTTCATATTATTTAAGCACCTGCTCACTCCTTCTTCCCCAGGAATGAAATTGTGCACGACCTGGCTTGAGAATGAGCCAGCCGAATGGGCCAACATGAAGGTTGGGGACAAACATAGTTAGTTGCGAGGAACTTACGGAACATTAAGCTGTGGCGGCTGCATTTTCGATGGAGGCGAAAATGCTGTAGAACCGTGTGCTCAGATTTGAGTGCACGTTAAAGAAACCCAGGTGATTGAAATTTCTGGAGCTCCCCCCTACGGCGTCTCTCATGATCATATGGTGGTTTTGGGCTGTTAAACCCCACATCAATCATTTGCAACACATTAGAGACGAGGAAGGGTCCGCTTTCCCCAAGCACACGCATCGCTACGCAAGTAGCAGGCGACGACGTGGCACCTCTTGCAGATGAACACATTCTTGAATCTAGTCACTTACCTTTACTACTACCTTGAGCAATACTCAAATATGGGTGGGCCTAATTCATATACTGTGTGCTTGCAACAGAGCCAAAGGGCAAAATAGAAAATACCTGAATGGAGAACAGTAGGAGACTGCACTGTTAAGCCCAGACCCTGAAGCGCAGGCTCCAAGCCCTTCGGCAAGCCAAGAATGCTGCCAGAGCATTATGGCTGCCAATAGGGGAGGGAGCCCATGCTTCCCCGTCTTACTGTTTTCGATAATGTTTTCATATAGTGTTATCAGCACTGAGCTCAGTACTGATTCAGCGGTTTAGATGGTTAGGATGGGGCCAAGCTCCTTTTGCCTAGTGATCAGCAACACATGCAAGCAACTCATCCGCTTTCCACGAGCAGTCCATCTGATGAGTGTCTCTCTTACAGTGAAATTGGGCCCCTTTTGAACAAAGCAGGACACTAATCAGTGATAGAAAGTGTGTTTGAAGCCTAACATGGGCTTAGTGATATTTCTTTCATTGCCACATTTTACCCTGCAGCATAAAGTGTGCGAGGCATGCATGTTGTGTGTAACTGTGTAGTTTGTAATGCTCAGTTGAGCCCTCTAGGATCTGTATATAGTGTGGATCTTAGATTACCGATGGTACTCAAGAGAACTGCCAGACACTGGCACCTCAGGTAAGTAGTTCAGCAGATCTTCGAGGTTTGCTGAAGACACGTTATTCTAAAGGCAGTTCAGTGGTCCAGAACGCACAAGTTAATTTCAGCCAATAACGCAACACTGACACAACCTCATTAACAGAACCTCCTCGTTATGGGTAATTTGATCCCAAATTACTAATGTATGCTTGCAGTGAAGAATGTTCTACTCTGATAGCCATGTGTATTTCGGAAGAGTGGTAGTAAATATGCCACTGGTGGTAGGTGATTTCCGCCACCTGTAAGTATCCTGGAGAAGACAAGCAGAATGTCCAGACAGTCTACATTTAGTAAAAAAATGTAGACACTTTGTTGAAACTTATTTGTGAGATGTGATTGTTTTACCTTTAAGAGAAAAAAAAAGCAGTTACTCATGTTCAAGAACTCACCCTCCGAGCAGCGCCATGCGGTGAGGCGCTCAACACAGAGCTGGGTTCCGCACTCCTTCACACGAGAGGAGGCTGTTGCACTTTGCCGGCTGCAGACCTGAACTTTCCCAAATGTGCACTTTATGCAAACAATATACCCAACTTGATATACAGATGCCTGTCTAGGATGTGGTGCTGTCCCCACAACCTTTCACGTCACCGTAGGGTGCACCACTGCCTACTTCCCTTCCCTCCCATTAATTCTTCAGTCCACCTCAGAGCAGTGGGAATGCACCCTTCGCGGCGCCCCCGAGGTCTGTTGGGCGCTCGTTCAGCGGGCCTGAGCTGTCGCAGAGGTTGCCATAGGGGTCTGGAAATAGGGACCTTCCTTATTTCTTTGCATAATAAAAATGTTTTCATCATCATTGAAAATCACAGGTGACGGGGAACGAGGTGCAGCTAGCTTCCCAGCTCCTCTTTCAATTTGTTTCACAAGACAATTATTTCTACATAACTCATGAAGATGCGATATTTTTCGGTCGTGACGTGATTGCACTCTGGTTTGAGCACTTTCACAAATTTTATTTGCAAATATGCTCTGAAGTTTTTGCTTGTGTACAAAGAAGCTTTTCAAAAACTATTGAAAAAAAAAAATGAACTCTTCATATGCCTAACAGCTCATTTCGTTAAATGGGGAGGGGGGGACTACACGAATTGGTGAGCCACAGTACGTAACCGTCTAATATCTCCTTCTCTTCTACCCTGATGCTGCTGTACTGGCATATATTCTCAGAAAGATGGACTTGTTGCAAATTCCAGATAATCTTTTGCTGTTGAGTAAACTGTCGCAAGATTTTTCAAGGATACTCTTATGCGATGACTCGCAAGGGACGATTTCTCGTGTGGTATCATTGAGGTGTGCCTAAAGTGCAGGAAATGCTGTTGATCCATTTCTTGCTTCAGCAGTGGGCGTCATTGCACTTTTGTTCGATTTGATGAAGTTTCCAGCAGGGAAAATAACGTTCTCTGCAATCCGTAACAGCATTAAGTTCAACTCTGTATCAGTCGCCATGCTCTGCTGCTGCTGCAGTAAACTCTTTCGTAATTTTGCTGATGGGCATACACATGAAATGCTTATCGCGTAAACATGAAGAATGACGAAGGTTTTATACTCAAATTTATTGCAAAGTTCTTTAAATTTGGACAGGATTAAGTATCTTTCTACTACCCAAAGCTGTTTGTTTAGAAAGAACACGTGAAACTGCGCTATGTACTGTGATCTCATTAGTAGAGACATTTGCTACAAGCACTTTAGCTCAATAATTGCTCTTAATAGAACCTATAGTGATGGAGCCTAGTGTGTGTTCATGAACACAGATATAGCTATACAAGTATATTCAATGCAGTAACATATAATCAGAAAGACAATACCAGAAAGATAATATGAAGGAACAATAGCAAAATTTAAAACACTATATAGTGTAAATAGGGTGTCGTTTCACAAGCACATCCTCTACGAGAAAATTTAATGTATTGCTACTTGAAAAAAAATCAAAGCCCATCTTCAGTGAGTAGGCACCACAGATCTAGGTTATAGCTCCAGGAATTTTGACGATCTCTCGAGCTATTTATTATTGGCACAAAAGCAGATTCAAGCACATATTAAATGCGTTTCTCGTGTTATGGCCCGGCAATGCTTGTGTATTGTGATACTGTTAGTCATCACTTGGTGCGTTAGCTGAGTTGTTCTCACGGATGATGTGAAGAAATTAATATCTGGGGTTTTGCGTCCCAAAACCATGACGTTATTATGAGAGACGTCATAGTGGGGGGCTCCAAAATTTGTGACTATCTGGTGTTCTTGAACACGCACTGACACCGCACAGTGCAGGGGCCTCTGCCACTTTGCTTCCATGGAAATGCTTGCGCCGTGGCCGGGATCATATAGGATGTCCACTATATCAGCATGTCAAGAAAAATCAAGAATTATTACTAGCGGTCCTTTTGTGTCCTGCAAATTTAAATGTAAATCATACTGGATGATTCGCTTAACAAGACACGTAGCAGGGCTTATTTTTATTTTCATTCTAGATGGACTACCTATTTTAATAAATAAAGCAGACCCACCAAATTCTTGCAACATACTCAGAGCTGCATACTTCTACATATCAAAAACAACATGATTTGAAGGGCTCAATTACAAAAGCACTGATTAGAGAACATCTAGATTCAGCAATGTAGTATGTGAATTAAAAAAAGAGGGGGGGGGGGGAGCAGGAATATTTCTTGCGTGTGCAGTGACATCAATAAGAAAATTTTCATAAATTGTATTCACAGATTGAACGAAAAACACACAGAAACGGCGTCACAGAGCTGAATATGTGCCGAGGTAAATGTAAGAGTAGATAGCGTTGTTAATATAAACTTGTGTGGAACTGGTGGAAATGAAAATGCAAGCAACAATGCGAAAACACCTGCCTTCCCAATTATTCAAATAGCTTTTGCCAAGACATCCCGCATTTCCTGTACCCTATGACGAAAAGGAGGGCCAGATGACAAGTGTAACTCTGAACTAATGCAACGAACAAGTCCCGCAGAAGCTTTTTCATCTTGCAACACTCTGCAACTGTTGTCAGATTGAAACAAAAATATATGCAAAGTTCTGGCCTGCCATAATATAGTTGGCTTTTTAACTTCGATTCTTGGATCTTTTTCCTGTTTTCGTTTTCTTCTCATCTTTGCAAGCACTAGCAGACATGGATTTTCATGACTTACATTTATTTGTTTGTTATTGCTGACTGCATCCTGCGACTCTTTGTGAGGAGACCGTTAGTCTTTCACAAATTTTTTGTAGGTGTTGGTTATGGCGCTCAACTGCAGCACTCTCAAGACTCTTTGAAACCCCACGTGCTGTCCTAGCTATGTCGGAGATTTCTTTGTTCTTTAGGTGTGTGCCTGATGCGGCATTGGTGACAGCCAAGTTCATACTTGTCGCACACAAACAAACGAAATTAGAATACGTATTTCATGCATCACCATAACTGACAAACCTGCTGACTGGTATCATTTGTAACGGACAACCGCAGTACCAGTGACACGAGTCCCAGGTGCAACTTGACAAGCATACGAAGAAGGGACAGCCCATTGCGTAGGTGTTGGTTCTATGGAAAAATTGAACGCATTCGCAGGCATACTTGAATGGCGCGCTCATAAAGCGGATTAAAGTCGACATCTATCGAAAGTCTATTTAGACAAAGGACCAAATTTCCATTGGAACAACTCATAGACATAGAAGTCTGGACAACCCGAGCGCTGGCTCACAGCTGGTTGCTTTATTCAAGCGAAACAGAGAAAGCAAAGGGAAAAAGAAGAACAAAGACATGCCAACTAGCTTAATCTTATCTTTTCACGCAATATTTATGTCCACTTAAAAAGAATGTTCCAAGTGCCAGAATTATCTTGGCACTATTTGACAAAGAAAACCGAAACCGAAACACCCTGGTAAAAACTTCGGGACATTTAGCGTAGTAACACAGCTGCAAACGCTCGCACAGCTTTGAATGAAATAGTGCGTGGTCAGTACAGCGAAATCCACGTTCATATAATATTAATTATGTGTTTAAAACATATATGCGCAGGAAGTGTTAAAAAATATTGCAGTAAAATTGTGCGGCTGGGAGGTGTTGCCCTAAAAATACAGTAGTACACTGTACTAAAACGCCGTCTCAGAACGCCTTTCATCACGTGCTTCGGCGGTTCGTTTGCGTTGCGTTTCTCTAGTTGCGGTGTGGAGTCTAGCTTCAACTTACAGTGAGTGACAGAATATGGATCGCGTGAAAGTCCTAAAAAAGGTATCGGCAGGTTTTCAAACCGACATGGACACGCTATTGAGAAAGTTCATGGCGGAAGAATCTATTCGGTATAGTACATTCTCCAAAGTCTGGAAGGCGATGAAGTTCTCCTTGGTGTTTTGGTAAGTTCGTTCGTCGTGTTAAGGCGAGAAATTCGCAGGCAAAGTAACCCGTTCTGCTTCCATTCCTTGCAGTGGCCGTAAGGACCAGGAACTTCGTCTCGTAAGTAGCGGGGGTTATCGTGCACGCGATATGCGACGCGCGCTTTCCGGGGTTTCGTTTAGAAGGCATTTTGGGTTGCGATTCGCAAAGACGAATCCTTGCAACTACTTGGCCGCGTTGTGCGATTGTTCCTTCTTTTCTTTTTCAGTTCTTCGAAGAAATAGCTGCAATCATTCTGCAGTTGTGGGCTCCCACGTGCTCGTTCCGAGAAAAGGTGTTCGGGCTTTACATGCTCTATGGTGTCTACGCCTCCCAGCCCATCTTGCCGAAATTAAAGGTTTGTGATCACAGAGAACACAGTCAGTTATACTCTACCACTTCGAGTATTGTTCTGCTGAGCGTAAAGTGCAAGCTTGTTGCGAGCTTTCAAAAGGTTGCGCGTTGCGCTTTAATTAACATTTCATTGCTATTGTAGCCCCTGAACGGCTACAGATAACATGAGCGAACCTTGTTGGAAATTTTTTAACGCTGGTTGAATGTGCATTCCAATAATGAAGCTATTTTCTCGGCAGTATACAGCTGGAGAGCCTCATTGCTCAACTATAAATCGAATGCCAGCATTGTTGCATATGATGTTAGGATGGTTGTGACGTTTCCATTATGTTAGGATGGCTAACTGGGCACCTGCGAGCCCAGTCAGCCATCCTAACCTCATGGAGCTCTGTGTGTGTATTTTTAGTTGTTGGTCACCCACCTCGCCTCAAAACATGCAAGCCCAACTCATTCAGTTATCCACCCCAATGTTGTGGAGCCAGCCCAGTGCCTACATCTAGTGGCTACAAAGAATGTTGGATATGCTTTCCTTACACATAGGTTTTGTTGAACATAACATGCGGTACTAAGGCCCTGTCAAGTTGGGAGTATAACAAACAGTTCCTTTCCAGTACGAGCAACACATCAAAAGACGCTGACCACAGCTTATCAGAACATGTTTAGGAGCAATGAAAAAGTAATGCAATTGTCGTGCGCTTGTTAAAAACCTCCTCTACTCAATTCTACATGAAGGTTTTTTCGGTGGGGTATATGAGTGTATTGAACCAACCAGTGAACAAAGTGAGGTGTCTGCCAACCTGGAATTGTGAGGGAATCTGGACATATCTGGAAAAATTGGGGAACTTTCGAAAAAAATGTGACTAGGTCGTGGAAACCGACTCGAGGAGTTTTTACCTTTGGGAAAAGCTTACAAGGTCGCTTATTTTTCTGCATGTAAAGTGAACAGCTAAGCATAAGTATAAAAAAAGGAAAGGACAGTGCACACTCTTGCTTAAATCCCAAGCATGACGTTACTTGCGACAAATTTCATCTTGTTTGTCTTGGTCGTGACTTTAGCTCAACTTAAAGGGTTCTCACCTGGTTTGACAATTTTGAGCTTGGGAGTGCAGTGCATACACTGGGCGTTCACGATCACGTCTTCCGAAATTCGCAACGCCACGTGCCGCAATAATTGTCCAAATTTCAAGCTGAATGCTGCTTGCCCTTCTCTCATGCTTGTGCCCTGAAAATTAGGGGAGGATGTGCACGATAGAATTGCCCTGCATAGACAGTAGTGCTGTCACGTCTGTCCTATACGTGGACAACTGTGCTCTGACATTGCCAGCAGTGGCACATGACACTGCAAAAGGTATTTGACATGACATGTGTTGTGCAGTTTGTTGTGGAAATAGAATAATTAGAGGTGACAGAAATAATGATGCACAAAGGGAATGTGAGCATATTTTTATTTTTTCCCCGTGAATTGCAGCGATATGGGGAGGTTTGCATGTGTGTGTCCCCACTGTTAACTCATTGAGCAAATGCCAGCCCTTGGAACGACAGTAATGTTCTGGCGCATTTAAAGACTCATTATGCTAATTTATTGTACCACGTCTGAGTAAACGTAATTACGGCACTGGATCATAATACCGCCACTCTCATGCCTGTGAAATGTTGCAGTTTTTGTGCTCGGTATAGCTTGCAAGCCTGATAATGGGCGAGGCAGTAGGCCATGAAATAGTACTAGTCAGCAAAACGCAACGCCACACGGATGCTCGGCGGCTTCGACTTGCTCGGGTTGGTAGTGCGCACATGCCCTGACATATGCGTGATGTGTTCCTTTCGCTGGGTTGCTAGAAAGGGTAGGGAAGAGATTGAAGGCTACTCGGGGCGAACAGCAAGAGTTTTGAGCTCGCCTCTTTACATCACGGGCTTGTGGCGCTTTTAAATGCTGATTTTCTCGGCTCGTAATTAAACGACTGAAAAAATTCTCTTGACAACACTCTCGATCCCACACACAACTGTCACTGTATAACTGAAATTTGTTATGGGGCCTGGTGAGGGGCTTTTTAAGGAAGTTCTAGTTTGGCCATAAGTACTGTAAACAGAGGCTAGCCGGGCTGGGTCAAGCTCATTCAGTGGCGATGCAACGGTAGATGTCCTCAGTTCCACACTAAGTTTCAGCGTGTTTCTGTCTTTTTCTTCCTAATTTATTTATTTATTCATTTGTTTTTTGCTTGATTGATTTTTACCACTTTAGGGCTTGTTTCCAGTATACAGCTATTTGTCCAAGCTGACTTACAAGTCAATGAATATGCTCAGAATCATCACAAGAAAACCTGGAAAAGCGAGTGAATTTGAAAACTAAATTGGTGGACACCCTTATTTGTTCTTCCAGCACCCAACCGGTCTAACGAGTTTCTGCAGACGTTTATGAACTGTTGCATTTTTGTCTTTGGTCAGTTGTCATCATGTTCAGCTACCAGATTAAATTTAGAAAGCCGACATTCGTATAGGTTCGTTCATTGCACTGGTATTGTTGGATGTCTACCCTACATCAATTGACATGTGTATTAAAGGGATACTGAACGAAAATTGAAAAAAGGGACGGAACCTGGAAATTCCACTCAGAAGATGCCACTGTTCTGACAAACTGAGTTTATTTCCCGTATTTTTTAACAGTTCGTTGTATTTTCGATGGATTGTGAGCACGTGGTGGCTGCTCACGAGCCCGAGCAGTGACGTCAAACTCACCGAGGCGCATGCAGGATGCACGTGTTCTTGTCCTCTTCTTCCTTTTCTCCAGCTGTCCTTCCAGTCCACTCTTTCCCTTCCACAAAAACGCTGGCGCTTTGCCCCAGCAGGAAGCATTGATCGCTGCTGTTGCTGTTCATACCAATTCTGGGCAGCGAAGTGTAAGGTGAGCGAGTTGAGAGATGGGGGGCGGTGGCTGGCATTGTTGGCTTGCCAGTTTCCGGTCAGTTTGATGTCGCCCAACGTCACATTCTCTAGTTTATGGCGCTGCTGCTATACGCAACAGTTTGTGAAAAACGCATTGAATTCATCATTTTACCATAGTTTCTGCTTGGAATGAAGTTTGTGTCTATCGATTTCAGGATCCAATATTTGGATTTGGCTGAAAATATTGGCAGCAAAAATTTTGTTCAGTATCCTTTTGAGGCTAAGATATGCGACTCCTATGTCAGTGCATATAGATATCTTGATGACTATGTTGTAGTACTTTCAATTATCTGTATTAGTGATTTTAAAAGTGCCGTCGGAATGATTTTCAACATTTTCACTGCTGAATCTCGAGGACTAAGTTACACGTGGGACAGTCCCGTCTATAACTGCATTCCTTAACAAGTTGTATAATTTTCTTCATTGTGTGCTGGATGTATAACCTCTGCTCCTCGTGCATTACAATAGTGCGCAACCAAGCTCATTGAAAGAGGTACCACACCATTATGGAAAAAAATCATTGCCAATAAAAATCTCTCACTGCACCAGTGTTTATAAGTGCCTGGACTATATCTACGTTTGTCTATGTCTTATTTAATTTTGTGATGCTGTTTTCAAGATCAGCAGACCATGGCAGAAAGCTTAAATATAGACAAGTGAAGTGCTTTGTGCCTGACTGTAATTTGCCAATTCTTGTCACAGCTGTGTGTAAATCTGCCACAGGAGGAGGAGGAGGAATAAATGAGGAAGGACACAGAGTTCATAAAAAAGCATCTGGGCAAGCAGTTATCAAAAGACAAACGGAAACATCAAGTTATCCTCTACTTGCATAGAATTTTCACGCGTTAAAAAAATAACAAACAGGTGCAATGTTAGTTTTTTTTTGCACGCCATGCAAACTAGCTCAGCTCCTTTTTTCGCTGATAAAGGCAAAGTTGTGTTAGGCATTATTAGGCATGTTGAAGGCGGTGCACGTTAGGAAAACGGGAGATCACTGAGTGAGCACGCTTAGCTTGAATATAACTGATAAACAAGTGCACTTTCTATGATCATTCTTGATTGTTGATGCATGTGCATACATGAAAGATGGCCCCGCCGCGGTGGTCTAGTGGCTAAGGTACTCGGCTGCTGACCCGCAGGGCGCGGGTTCGAATCCCGGCTGCGGCGGCTGCATTTCCGATGGAGGCGGAAATGTTGTAGGCCCGTGTGCTCAGATTTGGGTGCACGTTAAAAAACCCCAGGTGGTCTAAATTTCCGGAGCCCTCCACTACGGCGTCTCTCATAATCATATAGTGGTTTTGGGACGTTAAACCCCACTTATCAATCAATCAATACATGAAAGATGGCTTGATGTCTCCGATTGAAAGTAGCTGGATGTCAATGCCGTTCTGTGCCTGTTGTGGGTTTCTTCTCTTTTTATTTTTTTTTTTTGTTGTGCTTCACAAACCTTGTACCAAAGACAGTAGTTATAGCTGTGCCAAGACTGGTAGGCAAGATGTTTCTCTGATTTTGACAGTGATGCGAAGAACGCTGTGAACAATATGGCATGTTGCCAGATCGTGCATCTTCTGATCACATCTTTGCACGATGAACGCAGCAGGTTAGGATACTTTGAAAAAAACTTGCGCAAAAATTTGGCGCATTTTACTGCACTTTTTTTGTCTTTTTCATCGTTCAAGACAGACTGCGTGCTCCAGGCAAAGTGTTTTACTTAACACAATTAAAATTAACATCCGGTAAGTCAGGGTAGGATCTTTTATCATATGTTCTTAAAGTGTTTGTTGTTTTTTATCATTGTTGGTCCGTTAGAGTATGAGCTATTTTGAAAGAGGGTTGTATCATTAGGCTTTCTCGTGTGACTAATGTTAGTTTTTCATTGCTTAAGGTGGTGATTTCATAAGATTTCTCGCTAGCCCTAACTTCTGTGCTGCTAGGTTTTGTCTGAAGCATCGCAGTAGCAGTAAGTGAACGAGCACTTTATCCAGTACTTTGGCACCACATATTGTGCAGATAAGACTCAGGCTTGCAGACTGGGAGCAGTCGGAGGTGGTCTTGCGGATTGCCACTAGAGAGCAGCACCTGGACATTTGCTACATCCTTTACAGAATGCGCCTGGAGCACTGCTTTCACATCGTGGCACTCTTGAGTCAGGTAGGTGACTGCTTGTTGCCCTAGAGGCACTCCGCTATTTAGTTTGTGAATCTCGTGCAAGGCTATCAGATGTATATTGCACCTGGGGAGGAATGCGTGCTAAATGAATTTTTTTTATAACGGAGCAGCTATCGGACCGCATCATTTGGGTTCCTCATTCTACCTTTGCTTCTCTTTTTTAGTGTGATAGCGTGAAAGAGCTTATTCCGCAGAAATTTTGGTGTCAGTGTCATCAGTTGGGAGTAGAAGAACGTAGTTTTCCTAGACCAAAAATTTAAGAAAGATGCGAATCGTTGCCCTCTCGATACACGAGCCAAACCAAGTCAGTGCTAATGACACTACACATATGCACGGCAGCACCAAGTAGTAGTGCGCATCATTTGTAATACTTAAATTAGACAGTAAAACTATGTCCCTCCAAGATCTCAGCGACCTGAAAACTGCATGCATGGTTGCATGATCACGCCAAAATGTTGCTCAAACGTGCCTTTACGTGCATTTTTATCGAGTCATTTTTTTTAATATTACGAAACGAACAATATTTCTGTACTATAGAAAGAATCGTTGACCTTGTGCGTGGCCATGTGCAATGGATCGTTGTTGTCGCTGGTTTTACCGCCCGAGGCGCAACTGGTCATTTTTTTTGCGACTTTCAGTGAAGAAATAAAAACATAAATCCACTTGCACGAAAAAAACGAGGCTGGTTTTTGAGTCAATGGGCCGGACAATCTTTCCATCAGTAGAGTCATCTCATTTTATGTTCTGGTCAGTTGTCAGTTTCTTAAAGCTGCAGCAAGAAGAGAGAAATATGGCAATGACAATATCTTGGCTGATGGTATCTGTGGTTCATTCCCAATTGCTGTATACAAGTTGCCTACAAGTTGTATTGCTCTGCCATATGCCGTATACTGCTCGAATGTAAACCAAAAATAGGCCTAGCAATGATGCTGATTCTTGAGTGATCAGCAATGGCATGTGATGTCGTGGTGTAGCTGCAGCAACCACTCCTCTGTAGCAGATTTGCCGTATCCTTATGCGGCTGCGACAGAGAATGGGCCCCAGACTCCATCATCTGTCGGGCAGGGAAGTCTTGTCTCCCTGAAGTAAAGCCACTGCCGGTCCACTAACTGCAAAGAATGTATGGCATGTTACTGTTCATCTGTTGTGTTATGCCCCTTTCCCTAATCACACAGCCAAGCACCAATACATTCGAGAATCAATGTACTTGAAATGCAAGCTACATGGCGCTGCAGATTGCAAACAAAACATGCAATATTTGTGCACGCAAGAAGGCAGGACCATACTCGGGAATTTTTCCGGGGGGTGTTTGCGTGTAGGGCAGCTAACTTTGGCAACTAATGGTTGATGTGAAGGCTTGTAAATAATTTAGTATCACCTGAAAAGTTGGAGCATTAACGAAGTTATGGAGGAGCCTGAACCCCCTCAACCCTCGTTATCGGGGTTCTCCCCTTCTTGTGGCCCTGCAAGTAGGCCATGTAAGAGCAAGCATTTGACTGACGTCCAGAAACTTGCTGGGCAGAAAAGGGGAAGTCATAGGTTGCCTTTGGACCAATCTACGCCACCACTCCTGGTGACATGACCAGGTGTACCCACCAACATAAGTGCTCTTGAATGTCCTAGAGAGGAGAGAATGTCGCTTTTTTTATTATCTTGTGGTACCTTGGGGGCATGAGGTGCTGTCATGTTTGGCATAGAAAGGTGGTCGTAACTGCATTCTGAACACTGTGTGCACGTATGCATGACATCTGCAAAAAAAATTTAAAGAAATGAAATGTCGGTACTAGTTTCAAGCGCTTTTCAAGTTATCTTTTGCAACATGCACTTTGTGGCTACTGCCATATTTTGCTGGCATTGAATACGTGTAGCAAGAGAGGAAGAGACGGCGGCCAACGTGGTCGTGTCGTTCTCTCGCCACTTTATTATCAAAGGCGATTGCCGAAGCGGAGCGGCGGCGGCTGCCACGTCCGAACCGCCAGGCCTGGTGGTCGTTCTCTACCGCTCGCGCCTCGAGCTGTCGAGTGAGCTGCACGAGAGGCGCAGCGCGGTGGCTAGAAAAATGACGATGATGATGAATGGCGATGATGATGACGCTACGGATTACTCCCCCAGCAGAAATAAAGACGGAATGAAAATAATGAGAGCGTATATACAAGCGAGTTAGGTTCGCAAAACGAAACGGGGTCCGTGAGCAGTCCAGGTCGTCAACGGTAAGGGACAATCGGCAACCAGTGGGTCTCTGGCGGGCGACACTGGGAGAAACGCAGCGGGCAAAGATGGAAGCGCCGGGTCGCGGTGGCCATAAACACGAGCGTCCCACGATGACTTGGTGGGATCACTCGAGAGCGCACCCGGTGCTTCGAGAATGCGTGTCTGACAAAGGTACCCTCAGGTGGAGCCGTGGGAGGGCGCCGGAAAGGCCGAGCCGGTGCTATGCACTGAAGCAGAACCAGGACAACCGAGTACTGAAACATAAAGGATGCGGCGGCGTCTCCAACAGCACATATGGCGCCGACATGGATGTTGACAAGGAGCAGTGGGCTGGCAGTTCTGTTCCGGACGTAGCCGTTGATGGAACACCGACCTGAGCGTTGCAGTGTGGCTGACATGTGGGTGCGGATGACCGAGTCGACGGGCGTGGAAACGCCGTGGTCGAAATAGTGCACGGAAGTCACTGCAGGCAGTTAGGTCCACTGTGACCGGTATGCCGATGTTCCGCGCAAAGGTGGTAGTCGCCTAGGTCATGATGAGGGTCATGTCTGAATTCAATGTAGATTGTTGCGTTGTGATGTCGCCCTTCCAAGGCTCCGGAGGTTGGCCATGGGATCCGGAAGGCGTGGGCTCTACCGGAGACTTGGCAGGCGCACCCGTGCTCGTCGGGTGGCCTGGTGTATGTCCGCCTGAGTGGTTGTTATGGGTTGTGCTGGCTGTTCTGCCATTAGCAAATCTATCATCTGGTCCTTGGTCATTGTAGCAGCATCTCGGAAGTTCTGCTGTAGCATGTCGCGGGCAACAACTTCAGCTGCAGGAGACGTCAAGGTAGATGGTAGTGGCTGCTTGCAGGATGCGCAGATTGCCAAGAATGATGGAAGATCATGTTCATTGGATAATGTCGGCTGCGGAAGCTCCGGGATTGGGTGCCGAATAATGGGTGAAAATATCTCGTGCCCAGACTTCGAGGCGCGCGGCAAGGTAGCCGTCGTGGATTCTGGGGTCGCTGAGGTGTTGCGTGCCGTTGGTGTCACGGGAATTGTGCATGTGGCAGGCACCTGCGGTGAACCTTTGTACGTGGGCGCCAACGGAACGCAGCTCTCGGTGGTGTAGTCAGTGGAAGTGCGAGCGTCTTCTACCTCGTCGTCGTGGTCGGGTGCAGGATTCAATGCTTCTGTGACCGGAAATCAGGTAGAGGGAGTCGTAGCCGGAATGGTGAGGTCGTGGTTGTTAGAGGGTTGCGTGCCGATTGGTAGCACACGTTGCGACGCAGTGACAGCCCCAAAGTCGCAGGACCCTGGAAGTGGTCGGGACGTGAGGCCGTAGCAGGTGAGCAGCTCAGTGCAGAGGGCGTCATAGGGCTGCGGGCTCGTGATCGATGTGGTAGCAAGATGGTGCAACTAGACCGGAAGCGCGTCGAGCAAGATGGCGTGCATAAGCGGCTGGTCCGCGACGCCATTCACAGCGAGAATGGCGTCGAGCCGCATGAGCCATGCCTGGGGTAAGGCCGGGTGGAACGGCGGCACTGGCGGGCAGAGTGGCGGAAGCATGGCAGCTGGTAGCTCGCCAAAGGGCGTGTCCTTCAGGTCACCAATGTAGCAAGAGAAGAAGACGGGACGGCGGCCAACGTGTCGCTCTCTCGCCACTTTATTATCAAAGGCGATTGCCGAAGCGGAGCGGCGGCGGCTGCCACGTCTGTACCGCCAGGCCTGGTGCTCGTTCTCTACTGCTCGCGCCTTGAGCTGTCGCGTGAGCTGCACGAGAGGCACAGCGCGGTGGCTAGAAAAATGACGATGATGTTGAATGGCGATGATGATGACGCTACATACGTATTGATCTGAAAGCTTTATGCAGAGGAGCCCCGTGATGTACCATGGCCAAGGTGTTGAGGATGCCAGAACGATCCATGCAGCGAATACCAAGGTGTTTGCTCCCATGGAAGCGATGAGTAAACAAGGCACAATCCAGGTATGAAACTCGAGGACTCTGGAATATATTTTTCAGATTTTCTGTGCTTGTTTTGAAGCCATGCAGTAAGACCTTTTAAGGGGAGAAGCGGGTCTTTGAGACCGAAAATCGCTAAAAAATAAGATTTTTTGAAAAGGCTATATTTGGATTCTCCCACTATCGCTGCATAATCTCGCCAATTTTCACGTGTCCTAGATTGGTAATTTAGCCATGAGAGTAGTTTATGCGACGTTAATGAGCTGAATTTTTGGCGATGGGGCGCGTGTGAAAAACGGGCTTTTTCAGCGTCGCGGTGTTGCCGTTCTACGCTTGCTACAGCAGCAGTCTTGGTCGCATTCGAAAGAGCCGCTCTTTTTTTTTTTTTTTTCATATCCCACCGCGCTTGTTTTCGTCCACTCAGTATGCACGCCGTAAATCGGCGTGAAAAAAAAGCCCCGTCGCGTGAGCCTATTGGTGCGGTGAGCACACGTGACTAAACCGCGCCTTTTCACCGGGCCTCCCGAGCTGTCTGCTGCTTGCGGCAGTGGAGCGCACGCGAAGCGGCGAGTGTATGTCACTTTGTACTCGTCGGCTTCCTAAACTCGCGTCACCTAGCGAGAAATTAAAGCAAGCATCTTCGTATAGTCTTTACGTTTGACGGTATACTGGTACGGCGCTGAACGAACTCGATGAAGCTGGCGGGACAGTGCGGTAGGCCTACGCTCCCAACCGCGTTTTCCCGAGCTGTCTGCTGCATGCGGCGGTAGAGCGCCTATGAAGCGGCGAGTGTATCTCGCTCACATGTCATTGTTCTCGTCGGCTTCCTGAACCCGCGCGAGCTAGCGAGAAATCGGAGCAAGCGTTTCTCAAGTCTGCACAATCAGGCACGCCGCAGAACCAGCTCGACGAACCGCGCCGCAGGCACCGGGCCAGTGGGTTAGGCCTACGCTCTTGGCCACATTTTGAACCTGGCTTGAACCTTTCATCATGCTGAAGCCGTATCGCAAGTTCCGCTCCGCTCACAAGTTTGGAAAAAAGCACAAGAAATCTACGGCAAAAAGAGATAATGAAGCAGGTATATCTGACGCGCACCTAGTACAGGACGGCGCGGCGACGGAACACGATCAGTCGGATGAAACACCGACATCTCTGCCTGTTTTCCTGGTTGCCTTGGACGACGTTGGCGATAGGCAGTGCATAAGGAAAGATACAACCTTTTTGGCGAGCGCCAATCGTGCCCAACAGCAGAAAGTGAGTGCTGATAAGATCAGCAGCTTATCGGCAACTTCGGCAAGCAAGTACAAGCTGCGAACGCTCGCGACAGCGCGCAAAGACTCGGACCCGTCGGCGGCGGCGGCTACCTACCGGATCGCCGGCTTATCCATGATAAACAAGCTTCTTGAAAGAACGGCCAAATGCCGGACATGCCACTAGTGGGACCGTTTCTATTGAAAAAAGGTGAGCGTGAATATGGACTTGCGAAGAAGCTGATTTCAGAGTGCCACAACTGTGGGCTTGTTGACAGTGAGTGGAGCTCTGGGAGGGTACCCAGTCAGGCTAAATGCACATCATTTGAAGTGAATATCCGTGCGTATCGTGCCTAGCAAAGCACAGGGAATGGCCAGGCAGCCCTAAACGACATCTTCTCTGTAATGGGAATTTCTCACAGGGGACTTCACCACAAAAGCTATCAGAGCCATTTGAAAAATAAACTCAATCCTGTGGCAACAAGAGCTGTAGACAAGGTCCTCTCTGATTGCGTCATGTCGGTGAAAACATTATACCAAGATCTGTGCTTTGACAACCCAGGTAATGTGGCCATCTGTTATGATGGCACATGGATGACCAGAGGCCATCTGTCGCACATTGGTGTGGGTGTTGTTATATAGCTGTTTTCTGGATACGTTTTAGACTATGTTGTCCTATTTTTGTGCTGGGTGCAAGTGCGCACCACCAAAATAAGCACCCAAATTACTTGGTTTGGGAGTCAACGCACATCTGTTGGAAAAATAAACAGTGCAAATCAGGGCACATGGAAGTTGAGGCAGCAGTCACTCTCTTTGAGCGCTCAATTTCCTGTCACGGCTTGCAGTACACAGTGATGCTGTGTGATGGGGGAAGTAGATCATTTTGTGCTGTTGAAGACTCAACAGTTTACGGTTTCATACAGGTTCAAAAAGAGGACTGTATAAACCATGCCCAAAAACAAATGGGTACTGCACTACGCAATCTTGTTCAAAAGCATAAATGTTCTGGTGAAACACTAAGGTGAAGACACCGCTTGACAGGTGATGTCATAGAGAAATTGTTGAGATACTATGGCTGGGCTCGGTAGTTCAATGTTGGTGACGTAGAGGCAATGCACCAGCCAGCCATGGCCACATATTATCATGTGACATCGACTGATGAAAGTCCAACCACACCTTGTGCCCAAGTGGCAGTGACTCATGGTGCAAGCAGAATGCTGCTGCTGCAAGGGGATAACCGCTGCCAAGACACATCTGCAACTTTCCACAAAATGTCCGTGATGCACTACTTCCAGTGTACGAGCAATTTTGTGACAAGGAGCTGCTAAAACGCTGCCAAAGAGGCAAGACACAAAATGCAAACGAGGCACTCTATTCTTTCATATGGTCTCTAATGCCTAAAGAGAAGCATGCTTCACTCATCGCTGTTGAGACTGCAGTTGCTGAAGCCGTGATGCGCTTCAATTCAGGAATGAAAGAAGCCTCCATACGTGTCCTCAAAGAACTTCAGCTAGAGCAAAACTCCATGAGCGAGCGACAGGCAGAAGAGAAGGATTCTCGTTGGATCATGAGTGCCGAGCGAAAGCGTTCAGCATCTTTCAGGTACCTTCAACAAGCAGAGCGGCGGCAACGACAAAGTGTGACAAAGACTACTGTCCTGGTGCTTTCTGAGGCATATATATGAAAAGAGAAGCATTTTTGTTTGTGTAAATTCTTTTAATATGCAGAGCTTTGTTTTTTGCCATTTTCTCGGTTTCAGTTTTTTGGCCACATTTCATTCTTCTGACAAGCGCTTCTCAGCTTTGGTACCCTGGAATTTGATAGTCTTTGTCTTGCTGAGAAGCTGAATGCTTAGTAAGTACAAGAAAGTGCCATTAGCAACTATAGGACGGCATAAATTTTTAGAAAAAATAAACTACAAAAAATTATCGTTCCTTGATAATGGAAGGATGAACTTCTAAGCTTCATAACTTTTGATGTAGGAAAGCTAGAGCCATGAAACTTGCTTTTTGCACTCTTTGCTAATTGTAGAATGCAATGACATTTATTTCAGCAAGATCGGTACTTCCAATTTACTGAAAAGGTGATCAACAGATCTTTTAATTAATGACTAATTAAAAACAAAATGGTAAGAGGTACATAAAAACTGAGTTCATATTTGACATCTGCACATATAAATACACCATCTCATAAGTTTTCATCACCCTAGCTTAAATAATAAGATGCCTGATGGCTAAGTGCCTCTTCCTCCCTTAATGTGTACAGCAGTGACCCTACCACTGGCTAAGGCACCAAAAGGTCGAGCTTTGATCTAATTTGGGGATACCATGGGTTATTCAGCCAATCTTTGGCACTTGTCAGAAAAGACTGCCACAGATGTATGATGCAAAAGAGTTAAGGGGAGATGCGGGTCTTGAAATGGCGAAAAATCGCAAAAGTGGATTTTTGAAAAAGTGTATCATCGCGATGTTCAAACATTTAATAACCTTCCGGCGAAACATGAAAGCTGTATTCAATCTAGAAATATTTAAAAAAAACAGCGATTACATGCCTTGGTGCAAGTGAAATGACTGAAAATTGGCTAATTATGTTCGAAGTTCACGCACTCGTAACTTTTGAACGCGGCGACCGGGCGCCGCCATCTTGGTGCTGTTTCGAAGCTGCTTTCTTTGTGCGTCTTTTTCCTATCTTCAAAATGGCGCCAGTGCAGCGAGAGTGACGCTAACACTACTTTTCCGAAGGTCGCTTGTGCGCAGGTGATTGGTCAAAGTGCGCGCTTGCCCCGCATGCTGGCCTTGTATTTGTTTTCCGCGTTTGCTTTGCTTTTTTTTTTTTGCCCGATCTCGCATTGTGATCGCGCACTAGCTTGGCTCGGGCTTTCAGCTGCTCCAGGCCCGTGGCATGGGGCAGTCAGGCCCGTGGCATGTTGTAAGCTTCGCGTCCGCGCCGTGAGACGTCACCACCATTGAAACGTCGACAGTGCACCGCCGGCGACGGCAAACGAACGCCATCTAAGCCTTTTCTTTGACAGTTTTATTTGTAATACTTGAAAATAGTAAGCATAAAAAACGTTTCTCATTTAATTTTAGGCATTTAGAAGCATACGTGGTGGGAACTGCTGGAAAATTGGAAAGTGACGCACTTTAGGTGGCAGTGCAGACCAGAAAACAAACAGTCGTGCCGCACTGCTCGTGAAAGGCACGCGGATATGTTGATATTACTTAAAGAAAGTTTGGCAAATACTGATAACGACGTGTTACGATACCTTCAGCTACAGAAGTGCTGGAACGTTATCAGTATACCTTTACAGTAGAATCTCAATGCGAATCTTGCGGGGTCACAAAAAATATTCGTAATAGCCGAAATTGGTATCATCGGAACATATGCAAAACTAGCTGAATTAACACCGAGTCGGAGGCAAACTCATTTTCGGCACTCGAAAAAAATTATTTTTTGGAGAAAAAATTTCTGATGTCTTTGTGCTTATTTTTTTTTGTAAAGTCACTGAGCAGACTTTTTTTGGAATCCATAAAAACGCGTGCACGTGTCATCACTGATTTCTTCAGCAGCCATTGCACGCCTCAGGGCATCGAGCTTGTGCAGAGTTTCAGCCGCCGGTGCTGATCCTTTGCCGTTGCACTCGTCTATTTTCTCGTCATCGTCGCTGGAATCGGCAACCTCACACGTGGCCTCGCTGACAATATCTTCCGCCGTGCAAAAGTCGTCATCTGAACACCCGGCATCTAGGCATTCCCAACCCTCAATGGGCTCCTC